AGTAACCTTGGTTCATCATAACTTTACTTGTTTGTGGGAAGTAGCCTTAACCGATATATATGACCATGTGAGCTAGCAACATGGAATCCAGTGTCTGCCCCACACCAAAAAAGGGTTGTCCAACTTGCCACGGTAACGACCATGAACTTCTAGCTTATGTGAATCCACTAGTTAATGTCTATCTAGACAATCCTATGTTGGCACATAGTTATGGGACATGCGTAATCGCCACTTGTCCACTCGGTACTAATCTTAACTTCCACTAAATAGTTCTTAAATATATTCATCTTAGCTTATAAAGGAACATGGGTAATCTCCTCTTGTCCTTATATCATATGACGTGGGTAATTGCCTCTTGTCATTTCAATTAGAGAGCATGGGTAATCGCCTTTTGCCTCAACATTAAAATAATCCTTAACATTGGTTCATTTTAGGTGAGAAGACCTTTCAACCCTAAGAACCCTTATTATGTGAGAAAACCTTTCACCAGTATGCTTTCATGTGTATAAGAGAAATCCTTTCAACAACACAACAATAACAACATCATTGATACCTTACTCTCAAAGAATCCTTATAACATTTACTTCGATTTCATAAGAACATGCATAATTTCATAATTCACCTTTCAAGGTTCAAAACCCACTTTAAATCATCAACATTTAGAAAAAATGGGTTAAACATGGCTTCATAGAAATTCATCATAAATTCATGTAATTCTATCAATTGATGCTTGGTTTCATATAATTTTCTTTCATAATTTAAAACCCACATTATATGATTATAACTTGGAAAACATGGGAATTATATGGGTTAATGGGGAATCATCATAAAATCATTAGATTAACTCAATTCATACATCATAAATCATAAATCAATCAATTAGGTCAATAATTAGGAGAACCCATAACATAGAAGAAAACCCTAACTCAATTGGGGAATTTTAACTTTGAAAATAAGAGAATTTGGGAATTCCATGAATGGAAGGAATCCATGGATGAATACTATCATACCTCAATCCCAATTGCTTAACTTCAACGATGGAATTGGAGGATTGACTTGCAAACCCTAGCTTGAACCCTTCTTCTTCAAGTTTTCTAGAGAGAGAAATATTTTAAGAGAAGACTTATTCTTCTTTTGCAAATTTGAGAGTATGATTTTCAATTGGAAAATTTTGGAGTTAAAACACTTATATAGGGGTTTTGATCAAGGGTAAAATGACATAGTATTAGGCTAGACTAATTAGGAAAAGATCCAATTGACCATTGGAAAATAATTGCCGCCACTAACGACGGCCAGCCCAACGGACCGTGGTTTGACCGATGGTCTATCCTGTTCGTCCGTCATCTGGCGTCAGAACCTGGAATTTGAGGCCCTGATCAACGAACCTCATCCACGGGCTGTGGATCCAACGACGGTCCGTTGGTCCAGGCCATGGTTCTTGATTTCTGAGCAGAATTGGTTGGTCAATCCACGGACCAGAACTATAGTCCGTAGTTCAGTCCACGGGCCGTAGTTGACCTCCGTCGGATGGAACCATATTTTTCTAAAACTGAAATTTTTCCCTTTCTCGAATTCGAGGTGTTACATTATCTCCCCCTTGGGATCATTCATCCTCGAATGAGATTCAAGACATCATAAGGGAGATATGAACTTAACCTAACAACCCAATATACATGCAATCACATTAATGCACATATCCAAGGAGGAAACATCAACACCAAGCTAAGGCATGCTCAAAAATACATATCATGAAGTTTATATGAAACTCATACTCAAATGCGCATAAACATGTAGAAATCAATTAAGTTAACTCATTTTCTCAAAAGTTAAGCTTTTCATGAACATGCATAAATGAGGAAATCATGGGAATATCTAAGACACATGACACCAAAACAGTAAACCATGAGGAACTCATTACCTCAAGCAAGAGTAGGGGTAGAAGGAAAGAGATGAGGATATCGGGACATCATATCGGCTTCGGCCTCCAAAGTAGCACCCTCAACTAACTGATTCCTCCACAACACTTTCACGGAAGCAACTTCTTGACTTGTCGGTCTAAAATCTCAACTAGAACTTCTTCATAAGAAAGATTCTCCTTAACCCCCAAACCTTCTAAGGGAACTATAGATGTCGGATCACCAATACATTTCTTCAACATAGAGACATGGAAAACTGGATGCACCGATTCCAATTCATTAGGCAACTCAAGCTCATAAGCAATCTTACCAATACACCTCAAAATCTGATATGGGCCTACATATCGGGGACTAAGCTTTCATTTCTTACCAAATCTCATTACATCATTCATGGGTGAGATTTTCAAATAGACCCTATCGTTAACTATAAACTTAAGATCTCTCCTTCTAACATCGGCGTATGACTTTTGTCGACTTTGAGCGTTTTTAAACTTTCTCTAATAAGTCGAACTTTCTCCATAGCCTAATGCACCAACTTGGGACCTATTAGGGAAACTTCACCCAGATCAAACCATCCTATAAGAGATCTACACCTGCTACCATACAGGGCCTCAAATGGAGCTATACCATTACTTGAGTGATAACTAGTTTTATATGCAAACTCGATCAATGGAAAATGGTCATCCCAATTACCTTTGAAATCAATTACACAAGCCCTCAACATATCTTTCAAGGTTTGGATAGTACGCTCCACTTGCCCATCGATTTGTGGATGAAAGGTCGTGCTAAGCTTAACACGAGTACTAAGGACCCTTTTGAAAAGATCTCTAAAACTGAGTAGTGAATTGGGTACCACGATCGAAAATAATGGACATATGCACTCCATGCAACTTTACCATTTCTCTCAAGTATAATCTAGCATAGTCCTCCGCCGAATAAGAAATCTTGATGGGAATAAAATGAGCTAATTTCGTTATTAGATCTACAATAACCCAAATCTAGTCATGTTGTCACCGGGTGCGAGGCAAACCAACAATGAAGTCCATCTTCACATCTTCCCACTTCCAAGTAGGAATGCTAATATCTTGAGATAAATCTCCCGGCTTTAGGTGCTCAACTTTCACTTGTTGGCAATTAGGACACTTACCCAAAAATTTCTCAATATCCTTCTTCATCCCATAACATCAATAAATCTCCCACAAATCTCGGTTCATCTTGGTGGCTCCTGGGTGAATGGAATATCGAGAACTGTGGGCTTCTGACAAGATCTGTTCCCTTAAGTCATCTACACTGGGAACACACGAACGACCTTGATATCTAAGTACACTATCTCTCCCTTGGGAGAAAGCCTCTACGGACTTTTTAAGTACCGCTTCGTTCAATTAAATCAAAGTCGGATCAAGACCTTGCTTAGCTTTCACATCAACCACAAAAGATGATTCTGAGTCATTGTGAACCATAACACCACCCTTGGTAGAGTCCACTAACTGAACACCCAACCGGGCCAATCTGTGAACATCTCAAACTGAATTTTTCTTATTATCATCAATGTGAGCAACAGTAACCATCGATAATCGACTAAGAGAATCCGTCACCATATTCACCTTACTGGGGTTTTAGAGAACACTCATATCATAATCTTTCAATAATTCAAGACACCTCCTTTGGTGAAGATTCAAGTCCTTCTGATTAAACACATATTGCAAACTTTTGTGGTCAATAAAAACATCAACATGAACACCATACAAATAATGCCTCAAAATCTTTAAGGCAAAAACAAGTCGCTAGTTTAAGGTCATAGATTGGATAATTCTTTTTCATGAATCTTAAGTTGTCTTGAAGCGTAGGCAATGACTTTTGCATTTTGCAGAAGCACACATCCTAACCTAATTCTCGATGCATCACAGTAAACAACAAAACCATCTGTCCCTTCCAGTAAGGTCAACACTGAAGCGGAAGTAAGTCTATCATTCAATTCATGAAAGCTCTTTTCAAAAGCTTCGAACCATATGAACTTAGCATTCTTTTGGTGTCAATGCTGCCAATAGAGAGGCAATCGAAGAAAACCCCTCAACAAACCTTCTGTAGTAACCAGCCAAGCCCAAAAAACTTCTATTATCCGAAGGGTATAGAGGTCTAGGCCAACTCTTGACCACATCTGTTTTCTTAGGATCTACCTCAATACCCTTACTTGAAACAATATGACCAAGAAAAGCTACGGATATTAGCCGAAACCCACATTTGCTAAACTTTGCAAAGAGTTGTTGGTCCTTGAGAATTTGCAACACAATCCTTAAATGATTGATGTGATCATCCTCACTTCTCAAATATATCAATATATCATCAATAACACAATTACAAATATGTCAAGATATTATATAAACACCCTATTAATCAAATCCATAAAAACGGCTGGAGCATTAATTAAACCAAAAGACATCACCAAAAACTCAAAATGACCATATCGGGTTCTAAAAGCCGTTTTTGGAACATCATCTTCCTTCACCCTCAATTGGTGATAACCCGATCGAAAATCAATCTCGGAGAAGTAACTCGCTTCTTGAAGTTGGTCAAACAAATCATCTATCTTTGGAAGAGGATAATTATTTGTAATGGTCACCTTGTTCAACTGATGGTAGTCAATACACATACGGAGGTAACCGTCTTTATTTCTAACAAACAAAACTGGAGCACCCCATGGAGAGATACTCGGTCGGATGAAACCTTTATCTAACAAGTCTTTCAATTGTTCTTTCAACTCCTTTAGTCCTGCTGGAGCCATTCGGTAAGGAGGAATATAAATAGGTTGTGTATATGGGAGAAGGTCAATACCGAAGTCTATTTCCCTTTCGGGAGGAATATCGGGCAAATCATCTCGGACACTTTTGAAAACTCATTAACAATGGGGACCAACTCAAGAGTAGAGGTTTGGGAATCCACATCCCTTACCCTAACTAGATGGTATATACAACCCTTAGAAATCATCCTTCTAGCTTTAAAGACAAGAGACAAACTTACTTTTAGGCATAGAATTTTAGTTCTGCACAAAGCACAGGTGGGAGCCGCCCTTTTGAAAGCTATCCATTATGGGACAGGCTTATTCGGGAACTGAAATTTTACTACACGAGTTCTACAGTCTATAGAAGCATAACATTAGTGCAGTCAATCCATACCAACGATAACATCAAAATATAACATATCGAGCTCTACCAAGTCAATAAAAGTAACTCCATGGGACAAGAAGACGGGACACTTTCTATAGACCGTCTTAGCCACAATAGAATCACTAACAGGAGTAGAGACAGAAAAAGCATCTAACAACACATCAAAAGAATATCAAACCTCATTGCCACATATGGCGTCACAAAATACAAGGTAGCACCGGGGTCAAGTAAAGCATAAACATCAAGACTTTCAACATACCGATAACCACATCGGGAGAACCTTCTTGCTCACCACGAGTCTGAAGTGCATATAATATGTTTTGCTTTGGAGAATTTGGACCTGAACCACTTGGACCGGATGAATGATTATGTTGAGCCTTTCGGTGATTATCTCCTTCATTCTTAGCAACGGAAGGACAATCTCTTACCTTGTGGTCCATCTTACCACAACCAAAACAAGCATTGGAACCTGCTAGACATTTACTCTCATGCTTTCTTCCATACTTAACAAAAGTAGGCAATAAGGACCCACTGCCATTTCCTACTTGATGCTTAGGGTTAGACACCCTCTCTTTGTTGAACCTAGAAAGAACATTGGAGGAAACTTCATCGAAAAACCTTTGTCGAAATCTAGGACGACCATATCCATCGGACCTTGTATGAGAAAAATCACCATAACATGTTTTTGCCCTCTTTGTCTCCCTAGACTTTTCCTTAAGTTTCTCTTCTTCGATATGTTGATCATGAGCCATGATATGAGAAATGTCCATGTCATTAACAAGCATGGAGGTACGACATTCTTTAACCACCATTTCGTACACACCCGAAATGAACTTACTCATCTTTGCCCTAGGATCGACAACCATTGTGGGAGCATATCGAGACAATTATGTGAACTTCAAAGCATACTCTTTCACACTAATGTTTCCTTGACGAAGGTTGATGAATTCAAGCACATTTTTCTCCCTCATCTTAAGTGGAAAGAATCTATCAAGGAAAGCAACCTTAAACTTCTCCCAATCGAGAGGACCCGCATCTTCCAGTCTCCCTTCTTTCTATTGGTTGTACCATATTTGAGAAACACCCTTAAGTTGATAAGCGGCCAACTCTGCCTTTTCCACCAGCGTCATTCCCATGATCATCAACACCTTGTAATGAACTCTTGAGGATCTTCCTCAACATTAGAACCATGAAACTCTGTAGGATTCATTCTAGTGAAGTCCCTCTCTCTAGATTTCTCCGTACTCATTTTTGAGTTTACAGGAACCACAACCTTCCTATTGGCTTGGGACAACACTTGAAAAGCAGCTTTAAACTCCGCATTAGTCACTTGTTCGGCCAAAGGGTCGACCAGAACTTGGGGAGCTTAGGGAAGAGCTTCTTGTTCCACATTCTCCCGCACATTCCTTCTAGCATAAGCTCATCGAGTAGCCATACCATGAAAAGCATCGCATAAGGATTAGGAGAGAGACCTTATAGAGTTAAACTCTATCGCACGACTTTGGAGTAATGAAGAAGTATAGTTTCCAAAACATCGTATAGCCTCTCATTCATAAATATGGCGCACTTCACTCTCATGAACAAGACTCTACTAGACGTGTCTTATGATACATCCTAGGACCTTTCTAAACGTTGTGCTCTGATAACTAAGTTTGTCACGACCCTAGGTACCCCTAGGCGTAACATGGCGTATAGGACCCCGAGAGGCCCCATACAATGCAAGCCACTTAGCATTCATAACATAAGAAATACAAAAATAGATAAAGAACAACTTTTCAAGTCCAAATCATTTTATAAAAGTAAAGTGGAAGTCTAAACACTTGTCTCATTAGCCATCTAGTACATAAGAATGAAATTAGGCCTATCCCATACATCATGTCTAAAAACTGAAAGTAAGAAAGAAAACTAAAAATAATGAAAATTCATCCTCGAAGCAAGAGGACTCACCAAAGCTCGAAAACTCGCAATCAACCTCTGGCCACGAAACTGGGAACCCTGACTGTCGGATCCTATATTTAGGGAAATGTAGGCAAGAGAATGTGTTAGTACAAAATATGTACCAAGTGTGATAGACATGCATATAAACATTTAAATTATGCTAAATGGGACTTTATCATGAACATGCAATGATCAAGCTAAAATATGAAATAAGTTGGTTAGAAACTATGAGTCATAAAACATGATCAATGCAAGTGAATATCATCTTAAAACATACTTATGATACTTCTTGAAGTAAACTCAAATCATAACTTTACTTAGTTGTGGGAAGTAGCCTTAACCGACATATAAGACCATGTGAGCTAGCCACATGGAATCTAGTGTCTACCCCACACCGAAAAGGGGTTGTCCAATTTGCCACGGTAAGGACCATGGACTTCTAGCTTAAGTGGATCCACTAGTTAATGTCTATCTAGACAATCCTATGTTGGCACATAGTTATGGGACGTGGGTAATCATCGCTTTTCCACTCGGTACTAAGATTGACTTCCATGGAATAGTTCTTAATCTATTCATCTTAGCTCATAAAGGAACATGGGTAATCGCCTCTTGTCCTTATATCATATGACATGGGTAATCGCCTCTTATCATTTCAATTAGAGAGCATGGGTAATCGCCTCTTGCCTCAACATTAGAATAGCTCCTTAACATTGGTTCATTTTAGGTGAGAAGACCTTTCAACCCTAAGAACCCTTATTATGCGAGAAAACCTTTCACCAATATGCTTTCATGTGTATATGAGAAATCCTTTCAACAACACAACGATAACAACATCATTGATACCTTACCTTCAAAGAATCCTTAAAACATTTACTTCGATTTCATAAGAACATGCATAATTCCATAATTCACCTTTCAAGGTTCAAAACCCACTTTAAATCATCAAAATTTAGAAAAAATGGGTTAAACATGGCTTCATAGAAATTCATCATAAATTCATGTAATTCTATCAATTGATGCTTGATTTCATATAATCTTCTTTCATAATCCAAAACCCATATTATATGATTATAACTTGGAAAACATGGGAATTATATGGGTTAATGGGGAATCATCATAAAATCATTAGATTAACTCAATTCATGCATCATAGATCATAAATCAATCAATCGGGTCAATAATTAGGAGAACCCATAACATAGAAGAAAACCCTAACTCAATTGGAGAATTCTAACTTTGAAAATAGGAGAATTTGGGAACTCCATGAATGGAAGGAATCCATGGATGAAAAATATCGTACCTCAATACCAATTGCTTAACTTCAACGGTGGAATTGAAAGATTGACTTGTAAACCCTAGCTTGGACCCTTCTTCTTCAAGTTTTATAGAGAGAGAAATATTTTGAGAGGAAGACTTGTTCTTCTTTTGCAAATTTGAGAGTGATTTTCAATTGGGAAATTTTAGAGTTAAAACATTTATAAAGGGGTTTGGATGAAGGGTAAAATGACATAGTATTAGGCTAGACTAATTAGGAAAAGACCCAATTTCCCCAAGGAAAATAATTGCCGCCACTAATGACGGCCAGCCCGAAGGTTCATCCTGTTCTTCTGTCATCTGGTGTCAGAAACTAGAATTTGAGACCCTGATCAACAGACCTCATCCACGGACTGTGGATCCAATGACGGTCCGTTGGTCCTGGCCGTGGTTCTTGATTTCTGAATAGAATTGGTTGGCCAATCCACGGACCAGAACTTTGGTTTATGGTTCAATCCACGTGTCATGGTTGGCCTCCATCGGATGGCACCATATTTTCTTAAAACTGAAATTTTGTCCTTTCTCGAATCCGAGGTGTTACAAGGAAGTACCACAGGCTCTCGCATCTATGTCACTTGATAATCAACCGGATAATCATCTATACATAGATTCAGGTGTTAGTAATCACTTGGTACACTCCTCATGTATTCTTATGAACCCTTCTCTATTTAAAAGAGCTGATCTGATTATGGTAGGCAATGGTGATATATTACCTATGACACCCATTGGAGATAAAATTATTGGAGAAAATCTTCATTTAAAGGATGTTTCTGTTGTGCCTCGACTAAAAAAGAATCTTATCACTGTTAGTAAATTTGTTGAAGTTAATGCTTTCTCTCTTAAGTTTACTGACAAGGGTTTTGTTGTTAAGGACAAGAGAACGGGCATAGTTCTGGCAAAGGGTTATAGAAGACATGACTTGTACGCTTTGGAAGAAAGTCTACACGAGGCTTTGATGATAACAAAAATAGATAAGAACTCGAACACAATTTGGCTTCAAAGACTAGGACATCCACACTCGAGAATTCGTAATTTTTGCATAGCAATAAGATGATTGATGTTAGGACTTGGAGTAAAACCTTTTCAGTTTGTAGTAGTTGTCAAATGGGAAAAAGTAGTAAGCTACCTTTTCAAGTTTCTAATAAAAGAGAGCTTGTGCCAGTAGATAAAATACATTGTGATTTATGGGGACCAGTCCCTGTTGCTTCTTCTCAAGGAATGAAATTCTATGTTATTTTTGTCGATGATTTCATACGATATACTTGGATCTATCCCCTAAAGAAGAAATCTGATTTTCTATCCATTTTCATGACCGTTCACAAGTTAGTAGAAACTCAATTTTCCAAGAAACTTAAAAGTACTTCAATGTGATGGAGGAGCAGAATTCAACAGTTTGAATTTTATATCTTACTTGGCTCAAAATGGTATCATGAGACAAATTTCTCGTCCACATACTCCTGAACAAAATGGAGTAGTTGAACATAGATACATTGTTGAGACTGTTTTGACTCTACTTTTTAATGTGAATCTACCTTTTTTTCTTTGGGTTAAAGTTTTTATGACTGCAGTGTTCCTAATCAATAGAATGCCTACATCTACATTGAGTATGCATTCTCCATTCTTAAAGTTACATGGAAAGAAACCTGACTATAATGCCTTGAAGGTTTTCGGATGTAGATGCTTTCCATATCTTAAAGGGTAGAATACAAATAAATTTCAACCCAAACTTTTCCATGTGTGTTCATCGCCTATAACCTTCTTCCCAAAGGTTATAGGTGCTATCACCCGCAAACAAGACAAGTTTTTATCTCAAGACATGTAATTTTTGATGAATTTGTCTTATCCTATGTGTCTACTAGAACTGATTTGTCTGCAGATCCAGATAGTTCATATTTTACTACGTTCCATGAATTTTTGGACCAACAAAATGGACATTCTTCAGTCGTTACTCCTCCAGATAACTCAACTGAATTCTCTGTCCCTCCAGCAACTAATTTTTTTTCATGAATTATCCCTTATGCAGCCAATCTCCTCTGACTTGCATAAGTTAGGACCAGCAATATATGACTCCAAATTCTCCTGTATCTGTATCCGACTCTACGGAATCAGCACCTCATGCAGTAAGTACACCTGATAACCAATTGTATCATAGTCCAAACACATTATCCCCTTTCACATAATTAGCAACCAACTCTTCATCACTTGACCAATCAGTTGATGTTCAAGACCAAACACACACCAAACAAATCACTGATAACACCCATCACATGCTCACCCGAACAAAAACTCATGCCATGACCAACCCTATGTTTCATACCCTCTTCACAGCTTCCATCTAACCCGATATTGTCGAACCAAAATCACTCAAAACAGCTTTGTCCAAGCCCCATTGGTTGGCTGATATGCATGATGAATTGAATGCTTTGAAATTAAATGAAACTTGGACATTGGTTCCGCGACAACCCAATATGAATGTTGTAGGTTCTCGATGGGTTTTCAAGACAAAACTCAAGCCTAATGATTCTGTTGAACGATTCAAGGCTCGCTTGGTTGCTAAAGG